GCATGATAATTGTGTGTCTCTGTGATATTTGGTGCTTTCTGAATGAGTCAGAGCTCAGGGAATAATCTGAATACAGCAGACAGCAATTTGCTACATAAATTCACCCCGATGGCTATTAGCTCATTTTAGAATAGTCGAGGCTCCTAGGTCAGAGAGGATTTTTGCATTAAATACCAAGTTAATCACAACTACTTAATCTTTCTTTTTTTTTTTTTGAGTCAGAGTCTCACTCTGTCGCCCAGGCTAGAGTGAGTGCAATGGCACGATCACAGCTCACTGAAGCCTTGACTCCCTGGGCTGAGAGGATCCTTCTGCCTCAGCCTCCTGAGTAGCTGGGACTATACTATAGGCATGTGCCACCATTGTGGTTTTATTCTTTGTAGAGAAGAAGTTGTGCTATGTTGCTCAAACCTCTGGGCTCAAGCAATCCTCCTGCCTCAGGCCTCCCAAAGTGCTGGGATTACAGGTGAGCCACCACACCAGCCTACTTCACATTTTTAATGCAGTCTCTTGTTTTTCCCAAAGTTCTTTTACTTTATTATAAGGCACCAGTGAAGCATCGCCCCTTGCGCCCTCATCTCCACCTCTCAGAGCGTATGAGTTCCATGTGGTTTCTCACACTCTACTTCTGCCTATCCGGGTGGTGATCCCAGTTTCGGGGTGGTGTGGGTGGCTTGCAAGTTTCCAGCCGCTGCTACTAAAATGACAAGAGTCAAGGGAAAGAGAGCAGCAGAGCTGAGGACAGTGAGAAAGGTGATCACGGCACAGACAAAGCTAGCAACACCAGGCAGGATGGCACCATCGGCCACTCTTTAGCCGGTGTTCCTTTGGGGCTACTGGTATCTGCACTGAGCTGTAGTTCCAGCTATGTGGGAGGCTGAGGTAGAAGGATCTCCTGAGCTCAGAAAGTTGAGGCTGCAGTGAGCCATGATCGTGCCACAGCATTCCAGCCTGGGTGACAGGGTGAGACCCTCAACTCAAAAAAAAAAAAAAGTAAAACAAAGGAGACCCTTGTTGGGTCTTCCCGAATCTACTCAGAGAGACGTGGTGACAGCGTTGTCCCTGGGGCAAGTGGCTGCTGGGCTCTGAGCATACAGTGAGCTGCCGAGGAGCACAGGACTTGTTAATTTTATTTAATTCTCCTGTGTTCTCTTTCATTACATCAGGAAGCATGTATGTTTCTCTGGGTTGGACTGTCAATAAAGCTTAACTGAATCATTAACACTTGCATTGTACTTGAGGGTGTTTTGTGGTGTGGGGGACTCTTCCCAGGTTTCTCGTGAGTCTGATACAAATACCCCGAGTCACATCACCTCAGAGAAGGCAGGCACCAACAACCGCTCCCAGCTGGCTTGTCACCCTGCCTCCCTTCCAGCTGCTGTCCTGTGCCACAGTGGGAAGGGCCCAGGGATCAGTGGCCAGGCACCTCTGTTTACTATGGGGCACTGAGGAAGTCACCCAGCTATTCTGAGCCCGTGTGTTCTCACCTTTTTAATTTTCAAGCCAGTATTACTGTGTTCCCTTCCCGCCTAGAATTCACTTTGCCAAAGGCACTCTTGGGCAGGTGACTGGCAGCATTTTATTTAGCTCAGCCCAAGGTGCTCAGAAAGAAAAGAAACTTTTAATCTGAGGAATTTGAGTACCTCCTAAATTATCAGGTCTGGAGAGGCACTGGAAGGAGACAGCAGTCATGTCCCAGCCCCAGCCCCTGGAGCGAAATGATCATCTCTTGAAGCTTCCTGCTATGTGGACTTCCTGCTATGTGGACTGACTGGCGCCATTAGCGGCTATACGTTAACCTAAGGCTGCTGCATGCTGTATGCCGTAACTCCTACAGGTCAATAGTGGAGAAACCATGAGCCCATTTTATTTCTGTAAGTCACTGAGAATTCCTCCCAAACAACTTTGCATCCACCCCCTCCTTGTTCCCTTTTGCCTTTAAAACCCTACTTGCAACAGGGCACTTCCCACCGTTAACTGGGAAGGACTTTCTGGGTAGCTTGTCCTCACTCTGGCTCACGTAATCTCTTTACAATTTTATTTTGTGCCTTGGTTTTTTTCCATTAAATTGACATTTTGTGTACTATGTATCATCTTCCCAGGGTCACAGTGCTAACCTACGTTCTGGCCAATCCACCAAGTCCACTAACGTTTCTTTCCATTGGAAACTAGCTACTGTGACCTATCCAAAAAACACCTAAAAGATGTGCCTACCAGCCAGGCATGGTGGCTCACGCCTGTAATACCAGCACTTTGGGAGGTGGAGGCAAGAGGATTGCCCGGGCCCAGGGATTCAAGATCAGCCTGGGCAACTTTGTAGGACTTCATCTCTACAATAAATCAAAAAATTAGCTGGGTATGGTGACACACATCTGTGGTTCCAGGTATTTGGAAGACTGAGCCGGAAGGATCTCCTGAGCCCAGCAGGTTGAGGCTGCGGTGGCCATGAGCGTGCCACTGCACTCCAGCCTAGGTGATAGAGTGAGACTCCAACTCAAAAAAAAAAAAGACATGCCTACCAATTTGGATTGGAGAAGTTTCTAAAGAGCACGATCATTAAGAGCATGAACTTCTTTGTTAAGACAGATTAGGGTTCAAATCCCAGCTCTGTCCTTATTAGCTAATACAGACCTCAAGGAGTCTCCATTTTTCATCTGTAAAATGGGGAAATAATTCCTACCTCATAGAATTATTTTGAGGATCAAATGAGCTAAGGGCTATTTTATATACCACAATGCCTGGTGTATAGAAAGCACTGAACAAAGCTCCTAGTTATTTTAATAGCTTAGTAGTGGTGATGGCGGTGATTGTTGTTGCCATAAGCCACAGAGTCACAAAGATAGCCAAAACATGGTTTCTGACCTCAAAGGACTTCTCAAAAATAGAGCTGAACTACAAACAACCGTCTTGTAAGTAAGTGCAAACACAATGTTACCAGAGCAGAAGCCAAGGTGTGTTCACTCCCAGGAAGTGTACTGAGGATTCACAGAGAAAGTGACAAGGAAAGCGGGCCTAAGACAGTAGGTTGGGATGTTACCAGTAGAGGCTGGGATAAGTGGCGAGGGTATTCCTGACGAGGTCACATGTTTAGGCTGAGAGTCCAGGGCATGTGTGGGAAACGGAAAATATTCCCAGGAGTGGGGAGGGCAGGTGCAGAGCAGGACTGGAAAAGGACAACTGAACCAAGCTGTGAAGTGTGAAGCGTCTTGAGCATAGCTCATAGGGTGTCTCCTGGGTGGAGACACACTGGAGGCTTCTGAGTGAGGAGTGACAGCGCTGGATTGTTGTCAAAAATCCTGCTTTTGTGATTGCTTGAAACGTCAATTTAGTAATTATCCTTTCCCATGAGGACTCCTAAGGAAAGGCCAAGCAAACTTCACCTTCAGCATGCCCACTCTTTGGAGACATGCCCCATCCAAAGGGTGATAATCAAAATAGTCAACGACAGGTAAGGCTGGCTGGGGCCGCAGTGCAAACACACACATATACGTGCACGCGCACACACCCAACCCACCAGGTAACGGGTTTCTCAGCCTGGGCTGAAGATGAGAGCAGGGTATGTGGCTAGCAGGCACTCATGTCCCCACCAGGGAGTGGTCAACGGGATTTGGCGGACGAGGCTGACTAGCGTGGCAATCAGATCGAGAGCTGGTAAGGGTCAGAGGCCCCTGCTGTATTAGGCATGGACTCTATATTGGATCATCGAGTCCAGAGGCAGGGCCAGGGAGCTTATGGGGAGCTGGCAGAGAAGACGGGGAGTATGTCAACATTTTAGCAACCAGCCCCTGTGCTTTCCAGCTGAGCAGAAGCCCTGCCTCTCCCATCCAGGGTTTCTCTTCACCAGACCATCTTCCCTTGGCTTCTTTAGCTCCAGCTGGTTCAGAAGGACCAGATCCTTCGCCTCAGACAGCAAACCCCTTTGAAAGTAAGGCTTCCTGCCCACACTAGGTGGTACTGTCTGTATTTTATATGGTATAGTCAAGGTGCCCATGTCTACAGAGAGGCTTTGACTTAAAAGTGAACCATGGATGCTACACATGGGTCATTATATTTCTCTCTCTTTACTTTGTTTATTTTTGTGTATGTAATAAAGAGAGATGAAAGTTTTAATTCTTTTTTTTTTAAAGGGACACTATAATCAAAATATGATTCTTTTGAGTTTATATCTTATTTCGTCTGGCTAGTTCGGTAAGATTCGTGCTTCTCCCATACACAGTAAGAAGGGAAAAGAGTATGTTTTCATAGTATATTCTCCTTTGATATATTAAAACCTTTAACTTTTTTTTTTTGAGTAGCCGTCTCACTTTGCTGCCCAGGCTGGAGTGCAGTGGCACAATAACGGCTTGCACAGCCTCGACTGGGTAGGCTCAGGCCATCCTTTTGCCTCAGTCTCTCAGGTAGCTGAAACCACAGGCATGTGCCACCACACCCAGCTAATTTTTTGATGTATTGTAGAGACGAGGTCTCACCAAGTTGCTCAGGCTGGCCTTGAACCCCTGGACTCAGGCAATCCTCTTGCCTTTGCCTCCCAAAGTGCTGGAACGACAGGCATCAGCCACCGCATCCAGTCAAAACCTTTAACTCTTCAACTTACTAGAAAGGCATTTGAACACGTGGCTGATATTTAAATCAACAAGACAAAAAGAGTGGCTCAGTGGCTCAGCCTGTAATCCCGCGCCTTTGGGAGGCTGAGGTGAGCGGATTGCCTGAGCCCGTGGGTTCGAGACCCGCCTGGGCAGTGAGACCTCATCTCTACAATAACTCAAAAAATCAGCCGGGCGTGGTAGCGCCTGCCTGTAATTCCGGCTACTTGGAAGGCTGAGGCGGAAGGATCGCCAAGCCCAGCAGGTCGAAGCTGCGGCGGCTGGGAGCAGTCACTGCACTCCAGTCTGGGTGATAGAGTGAGACTCCAACTCAAAAAAAAAAAAAAAAAAAAAAGAGTGGCCCCCATCTGGACCAAGAGAAATGCTCATTTGGGCATGGGAACGGCCAGACGTTACCTCCGAGGCGATGGAGGTGAAGCTGCTGCTGAAATGGACGTGCCTGTGGATCTCACTGCCGTTGGCTGTCAGGAGCCAGTCCCCGAAGGCCTGGTCCTCGCCCGCCGACTGGTTGCCGTGGCTCTGATTCGGCAGGAGCTCTGCCAGGTCCCAGTGGTACGATGGCGTGGCCCCAACCAGTGCAATGAGGATGGCCTCCGTGGCCACATAGAGCTGAAAGAGCAAACACAAAACCAAACGCTTCAGTTGGTGCCATCTTTGTTGAAAACTCACTGAGGCATCCTTTTGTAGTCCATTTGGTGTGATGATTTGGGTGTTCACATGTACATGTGTGAGATATGCCACCCTTAAACCCTGTTACGACGTGGGCACATTACCCATCTGACAATTAAAAAAAAAAGGAAACTCACTGAGTAGGCTAGCAAACCTTGGAAGATCAGTCCTTCGCTTTTGTGTTTTTGTGAGCTACAGAAATGAGGGGCTAGGTGTGGTGGCTCATGTCTATAATCCCAGCACTTTGGGAGGCTGAGGAAGGAGGATCGCTTGAGACCAGGAATTCAAGACCAGCCTGGGCAACAAAGTGAGTCCTGGTCTCCACAATCAACCAACCAATCAATCAATGAAATGAGTCACATCAGAAACAAAAGAGAAAAATGTGGAAAAGAACCAGCACGATCTACTTATGCACAGAACCATCAGCAATCCCACTTGTAAGACACTTTATACGTTTTCAGAGGGTTTTCCTTCTTTGAGATATGTCTGAGCCGGGCACGGTGGCTCATGTCTGTTAATCCTAGCACTTTGGGAGACGGAGGTGAGAGGACTACCTGAGCCTAGGGGTTTGAGACCAGCCTGGGCAACCCGGCAAGACTTCATCTCTACAATAAAGCAAAAAATTAGCTGGGCATGGTGGCACGTGCCTGTAGTTCTAGCTACTTGGAAGGCTGAGGTGGAAGGATCGCCGGAGCCCAGCAGGTCGAGGCTATGGTAGTTGTGAGCGTGCCACTGCAATCCAGCCTGGGTGACAGAGTGAGACTCCGATTCCCCCAACCTCCACCAAAAAAAGAGACATGTCTGATGCTAAGAATTCTGCACTTTATGGTTCAAAAGTGGGAGTTGTACATTACTGGCTCTGATGTAAAAGACTAACCTTCCAGCTACAATGTCTTTAGCCTCATATCTTCAATTCAGATAAGCATTCAGCAAGGGGTAGAGCATCCTTGCCCTGGCTTCGTGATCTAAACAAAAGTCTTTCTGTAGCAAATTAAGTGTCTCTGAAAAGAATATGTATCATATTGCTCTAATACAGCAGGTAAGTATAATATGTGCCTGAGTAAGTACTATTTTAAAATAGAATATACAACCATAATAAGATGTAAAGACATCCAAAATCCCAGGTATAAATATTCATTTCATAACCTTTAGTCGTATTTAAATCTTGGTTTAATCTAGCCATCGCTGTCCCCCCCAATAAAAAATATTTCATCCATTCATTCAAGAAATATTCATTTGAGCACATATGCCACTTGTCACCTGACCGTTCTTGGCTTTACAGGCTAATCACAACCAGGTTTATAAGCTGTTGAGCCCTATGCAGCCTTTTTATTCCACAGATTTCTCATTGTTAGACGATTATTTCAAGTTTAACATGTAGTAGGAAAACACATAATCAGTCTGGCTCAGAGTAAGACAATCTTACTTTAAGAAACTATCCCTATGGACTTTGAACTGGATGTCTTGAAGTGTCTTTACACAGAATTGATTGTTTAAGAAATACAAAGTATGTGATTTCTCTACAGCTATAGCAACACACCCACTGGATGGATGAGTTTATTGAGGTTCAGAAAGATAGAGAGACTTGCCTACAGTTTTATCTGCAGACAGCAGACAGCTCCCAGCCCGAAGCTCCTTCCATGTCATTCTGCAGGTGTATATTCAGCTGTTAGGTGGATAAGCGAAAGAGGGAAATGCAGAGTAATTTATCACCAGTAGATGATGGAATCACGACCAAAGAGAGGAAAAAGAAGTCATGACACAGTGTGTGTCTTAACAGAAAGCCAACGAGAAAGCCAAGAGGTGATTTTTCCCACTCTGGGGAAGGCTGAGCAGAGAGAAGGCGGCCCCATATCTATTTTCAGTCAATTGACAGTGGGCCTCTCCGAAGAGGCACACAGCTGCCATGGGTCAGTATGTGTGGGTGATTTATTCTAAAATGCAAAGGAAAACACATTCCTAGACTTATATGCTTCCCGGCCCTCATTTGCATACGGTTATGGAAATTTTTAGAATAGGAGACAGTCAGTTTATACAAATTAAACCCTTAATAATTACAAGAAAAGAGAGATTACACATTTGGCAGCAGCTAAAATTGCAAGGCCACTCTCACTTATCTGGAAACTGCCCCTCCTGATTACAATCTGCTGAAATTTAATTGATGGATATAAAGAAGTGAAAACCACGGGGTAAGGGAGCTCAGCAGGAGAGAACTCACACATTCACCACAGAGATTTCTCTCTAGATATGCTTCTTTCACCTTTGTTCTCATCGTTCATTGCACCAGGAAGGCACTTTCTCCTGCTGTGAATGTTTGAGATTTTCCCATCCCGGAAGATGCAACTCAGATATCACCTGCTCCATGAAGCCTTCCTTACCGCCTTGCCTTCCTCTCCAAACCCTCACGAAGTCTCTTCTGCTTCTTTCTGCTCACTCCCAAAGCTCCATTCAGATGTTTCTAGAAGAGGTATCATTTTCTTCATGGCATTATATCTGTGCATTTGCTTGTCTTATTTTTCCTACTGAACTATACCCTCCGTGAGGGCAGGATCTATGCCTGATTTGCCTTTAGGCTTCCAAAGCAAATAACCCAGGGCCTGCACACTCTCAACAAGTGAATGAGTAAATGTCCAGGATGGAATACTAATAAAACAGCACATGCTTCTCTATCCCACATTCCTGTTGAACCTAGGGTGACACATCACATTTTATCTGGATTATTCTAAGATAAACAACTTTCTAGGTAAAAGAAGAAATGTTCCCAAGGGTCCTCTGACCTGAGATGTCTTCCATTAGAAGGTCACTGTTCTCAGGAGAAAATACAATTCGGAGGAAAGAGCTCAAAAACAAAGTGGTCCTGCTCTATCCCCTATACCTGATGCAAGGGAAAGTGAAAGCTAGTTAATCAGCATTCTCTTTATTAACTAGTGTGTGGGGGATTGTCCAGACACAGACTGTGGCTCCCATACCTGGCTTCTTCCTGCCACCTCCTTCAGGGAGTGGCCTCCAGCCAAGGCTGGTTTCTGAAGGGATGCATATTCCCAGAAATGAGTGTGGGATGCAGGTGACCAAGGAAAGCTGAAAACGACAGTAGTCTTCACGCTTGATCAGTGTAATTGTAAACACCATATGGTAACTTGAATGATTAACATCATTGCCTTGATTATAAAACTGCTCGCGTCAAGGTGCAGATTCTTCACCGACCGGCTGCCATCAGTGGCTCTGGTGCCTTCCACACATTTGAATAAACCAGATACATCCCCTGCTGGATCTCCAGGGGACTTCTTTGGAATAGGTACACATTACGTGCACGCCCTCTCAGATTTGGGGTGACCTCATCACAGTCTTAACCTGTTTCATTCCTAGCCATCCACAGGAAGAATATGTACTTTCCACTTTTCTCACCTTCTCTCACCTCATCCTACCCTTTGCAGAATCTCCCTCACCCACTCCATGCATGTGTACACACACACACACACACACACACACACACACACACACACACAGACACACACACACACAGCGCTCAGCAGAACACACAGGATCACAGCTTTGTATCGCCAGAAGGGTCAGAACCCTGCAACTCTTTTACACAGTGCCATCCTCAATAAAACAGTGTCAGCCCTTTTGCCTCCTATGACACCCGCTCAGTTTTGCTAACCGTAAGGGAGACAGAGGAGGCAGGCAGTGATGATGCTTTTGATAAACACTAGGCGAGAGGCATCATGAAAGACCAGTCAGAGAGGCAATGCTTAAACTCTACATTCAGATGAATCTTAGGTCCTCTATACCAGAGCCAGGTACACAGATCATATGGTCACAGGAAGTCAAAGATGGTTTGGGACTTTAGCCAGGAGCATGCACCACCTACCCACAGACTATGGGGGTGGTTTTCCTTGGTTTGCTATCCTTGGCTGTGACAATTTCATAGAGCTTACATCCTGTCCCTTTACCCCCGAAAACAAAAACATTCACTTTCTTCTCTCCCCTATTATCTACAACTGCCACGCACACATTCACCCACATATTTTCGTCTAAAGAAATTGCACCTATCAGCAGATGAGCCTTAAAGTCACAGTGAGAAACCACCATCTATTCTCCTTCAGAGCGGGACTAATAACATCTCAAATAAATCGTTTTCTTCTCCCCTCTACCTCCAGGGAAGGAGAACAGTGCCACCGATGTCTGGATATTTGCCCCCTCTTTTCAATGTAATTATAATTAGAAAAAGGACTAAAACGCACTAGCAGACTGAAATTTTTAAAGTTTTAAAAAGTGAAGGCTTTCAACGTAATTTCATCTTAACACCATTATGAGGTTTTTTTGTTTTTTGCTTTTTTTTGAGTTGGAGTCTCACTCTGCCGCCCAGCCTGGAGGGCATTGGCCGCTCCTGGCCACCGCAGCCTGGACCTGCCAGGCTCCGGCAATCCTTCCGCCTTGGCCTTCCAATAAGCAGAACTACAGGCGCGCTCTACCACGCCCGGCTCATTTTGATTTATTGTAGAGATGAGGTGTCACCAAGTTGCCCAGGCAGGTCTCGAACCCGTGGGCTCAGGCAATCCACTCATCTCAGCCTCCCAAGGCACGGGATTACAGGCTGAGCCACTGAGCCTGGCTCCATTATGAGCTTTTATAATACATCTCGGGAAACCAAAAGTCTCCTACAAATTATCTCATCACAATATCGTGTGCTGTCATGGTTAAGTATGATGTTTATTTTGTAAGTAGGGGAAATAAGGCACAGGGCAATTTAATGAATTGTTCAAGGTTACATGTAGCACGAATAGAAAAACCAGAATGAGAAGGGAAGCCACTTAACTCGAGGGCCAGAGTTTTTTTCAGGGAAAATAAAGGTGGCAAAAAAAAACCCCAAAAACAAAGATGATATTATTGTTGTCACTACTGTTAGTCTTTTACACATTTAGTGCTCAGTAATCTGGTTGATCAACTGAAAGCATTACATAAGCAAGACCATAATCATGAAAATGCCCATCACAAAGTGGGTATGTATTCAAGTAATATCTGTCAGGGCATGATAGCTCATGCCTGTAATCCCAACACTTTGGGAGGTCAAGGTGGGAGGATTGTTTGAGCCCAGAAGTTTGAGACCAGCCTGGGCAACACAGTGAGAACTTGTCTCTACAAAAATAAAAAAGTTAGCCAGGTGCAGTGGTGCGTGCCCGTATTCCCAGCTACTTGGAAGGCAGAGGCAGAAGGATCACCTGAACCCAGGAGGTTGGGGCTGCGGTGAGCCATGATTGTGCCACTGCACTCCAGTCTGGGCCACAGAGTGAGACTCCGACTCAAGGAAAAAAAATGTTGGCTGACTTACAGATAATATCTATTTTTTGTGTTTAAAAGTTGGAAAACACTAACACACCCTAAATAACTAGTACCTCTAAATAGTGTTTTTTCCCCATTCTAATCCATCCACATTATGCCACCTGATCAGTCTCCCTGAAACTCCTCAAGAAACTCTTCTGGTCAAAACATATAAATGAGCTGGGCTCGGTGGCTCAGCCTGTAATCCCACGCCTTTGGGAGGCTGAGGTGAGTGGATCGCCTGAGCCCGCGGGTTCGAGACCCGCCTGGGCAGCGAGACCTCATCTCTACAATAAATCAAAAAATCAGCTGGGCGCGGTAGCACATGCCTGTAATTCCGGCTACTTGGAAGGCTGAGGCGGAAGGATCGCCAGAGCCCAGCAGGTCGAGGCTGCGGTGGCCGGGAGTGGCCACTGCACTCCAGTCTGGGTGACAGAGTGAGACTCTAACTCAAAAAAACCAAACAAAACAACCAAAAAAACCATATAAATGGATAAATGGTAGGTATCTGAAGTCATCCAGACCCCCCCCAACACATGGCCCAGTTGCTAACCAGTCCACATTCAAGTTTTCTGTACTAGCTTACTCAATTCCCCAGACATGACTTATTCATTACGTGGTGTGAAGAAGTGTGAAAAGCATATGGAGTGTCTGCAACACCTCAGTCTGAACCTCAGCTCTGACAAACCTTGAGCAAATCCAAACATCTCTAAACTTCATGTTTTCTTCCAGCAAGACTAGATGCTAATGGTACATCTTTATCTAACTCATTCTTACCTGATTAACTGCCATGAGTGTCAAATGGGATGCTTCCATGTTCAACAGTGAATGGTACAGCACTATACAAATGGTGAAAATTGTTGCTTCCCAAACTCAATGTGCAGAGCCTGACTCTCTAGGTTGTGGGTGGAATAGGCAGGGTATACGTTATTTCCTCATCTATACTTTTTCCAATTTTATGTTTTTCTATACATAAAAGTGCTACACTTTTTCTTTTTTTTTTTTTTGAATTGGCATCTCGCTCTGTCACCCAGGCTAGAGTGCAGTGGCAAAGCACACTCATGGCTACCGCAGCCTCAACCTGCTGGGCTCAGGTGCTCTTTCCACCTCAGTCTTCCAAGTAGCTGGAATCACAGGTGTGTGTCACCACCCCGGCTAATTTTCTGATTTATTGTAGAGATGAGGCCTTGCCAGGTTGCCCAGGCTGGTCTCAAACCCATGGGCTCAGGCAATCCTCTCGCCTCGGCCTCTCAAAGTGCTGGGATTACAGGTGTGAGCCACTGCGCCCAGCCTGGGCTACACTTTTTATTGTTATTTTAGAGTATGCTCCAAATTTGTATACTAACTGTAATACCCTCAGGCAGGTCCTTCGGGGTATTCCAGAAGAAAGCATTGTTGTCACAGGAGAAGACAGCTTCATGCGTGTTATTACCCTTGAAGACCTTCCAGCGGGGTAAGAGGTGGAGGTGTAAGATGTGAGAGTGATGACCCTGACCCTGTGTAGGCCTAGGCTGTGTGTGTTTGTGTCTCAGTTTTTAACAAAAAAGTTTAAAAAGGGAAGAAAAAAGTTTTTAAACTGGAAAAAACATATAGAATAAGGATATAAAGAAAGAAAATTTTCTGTACAACTGTATAATGTGTGTTTTAAGCTATTACTGTGAAAGACTCAAAAAGTTAGAAAAATTAAAAAGCTTATAAAGTAAGAAAGCCACAGTAAGTTAAGATTAATAGCGTAGCCTAAGAGTAGAGTGTTTATAAAGCCTACAGTAGTGCACACTAATGTCCTAGACCTTCACATTCACTCACCACTCGCTGACGCACAGTAATTTCCATTCCCACAAGCTCCATTCGTGGTACGTGCCCTATGGAGTGGACCACTGTTTATCTTCTATTGTAGCTTTTCGATGTGAAGTATGTTTAGATACCCATTACTTACCCTTGTGTTCTAATAGTCTAGTATTCAGTACAGTCACATACTACCCAGGTTTGTGGCCTAGAAGCAATAAGGCCATGCCATATAGCCTTGGGGTGTGGTAGACTAGACCACCCAGGCTTGTGTAAGTACACTCTGGATGTTTGCACAGTGATAAAACTCACTTAACAATCTCTCAGAAAGTAGGCCTGTCCTTAAATGATGTCCATATTTGTTGTCCTCACTTGAATATATGTTCCTTGAAGGAAAGAACTGCTTTATCTTATCACATGGGGCACAGAATACAAGGTGCTACATTGTACTGATGTTTGCTAAGGCATTTTTTTTTTAAACTAAAATACCAGAAGGAGGGGGTGGTTAGATGGTGGTATTCCAATTTTACTTGAAAGAGAAACAGATTAAACAATTTGTCTGGAGTCTTAATTAGTAGTTGTAACCACAGTTGGGTTCCAGAACTACTGTCCTTTAATTCATTATCTTTTTTTTACACCATTTTGTAAAGAATTAGTTTAATATCTGTAAGTACATATATGCATATATATAATACTATATGTGTGATAGACTATTATGTACACAATGGTGCGTTGGGTTCCTTAGAGGAATATAGAAATATAAGTTAGGATATCTTTCCTCCAGTAGATGGCAAATCATTAGAAAATTAGAATTTACCCAGGCTCGGTGGCTCAGCCTGTAATCCCACGCTTTGGGAGGCCGAGGTGAGTGAACTGCCTGAGCCCATGGGTTTGAAACCCACCTGGGCAACTTGGCAAGACCTCATCTCTACACTAAATCAAAAAATCAGCCGGGCGTGGTAGCGCGCGCCTGTAATTCCGGCTCCTCGGAAGGCTGAGGCGGAAGGATCGCCAGAGCCCAGCGGGTCAAGGCTGTGGTGGCCGGGAGCGGCCACTGCACTCCAGTCTGGGCGACAGAGTGAGACTCCAACTCAAAAAAAAAAAAAAAACAGAAAGGCAGCTGAGCTTGAGCTGAACTTTGAAGTTTGAGTTTAGAGAGAAATAGGAAATGTTGGTAAGCAGCATGGGATTGTGTATCCAAAGCCACACACACAAGGCAGATAGCAGTGGGTCTACGTTAGCCCCAGTAGAAAAAAGTTCACAAGAACACAAAGAAAGTAGATGTGAATTCCACTCAGGATCTGGAAAAGGTTGTGGATGTGACATGCGCAAGGTGGCAAAAGACAGCTAGCGAACTAATTAAAACAAGACTCTGGGGAAGAAATTCTTTGGCAAAAGCCAACGGCCTGATCACAGTCAGGAAAGTAAAGGTCATGCTTTTAAGGTTCTTACTAGTATTAGGCTTGCTAAGCTCCTCCCAAAACCCAGTCATCCGAGTGCCTCTTGCAAGAGTTTGACACGCCCGTTTCCTGTCTGCGATTATTTTCTCAACAGTCTTCTTTTAAATCAACTGAAATGTTTGAACTCAAGCACATTAATATAAAAATAAAATTTCATAGCAACATAAATAGCACGTGCCAGATGAATCCATAAAAATAAAAACAGTGTTAAAATGCTCGATGCTGGACAGTATGTTTTTAATTTAAAGTGGGCCACTAGAGATATTTGCAGGCAAGATTTGGGGAGGGAAAGGGGAGTGACGGTACAGCTGAATTCTTTTTTTTTGAGTTGGAGGCTCAGTCTGTCACCCAGGATAGAGTGCATGGCATGCTCATGGCCACCACAGCCTCGACCTGCTGGGATCAGGCGATCCGTTCACCTCAGCTTTCTAAGGCTGGAACCACAGGTGTGCGCCACCA